CTGAAGCAGATTAATGATTCAACCACCCTTAGGAAGAATTTAGGCATGTAGAATTGTTAGGTTTGGTTAAGGTGTTTTGTTAATGGCTTTGAGGTGGAAAACCTTGGGGAACAATTTAAGGTTTAGAAAGGCACATAGTTGAGTGAGGGACTCATTGAGGTTAATAAACAAGGACAATGACAGCCTGGCTATTGCCGGATAATGTATCCTTCTTGCTAGGATGGACTGGTGATCAAAGGCGATGATTATTTCTTGCACCCATTTCTGCCTTCAGCTTCCCGTTACAGAAAACTGTCGATGAATGGGTATGCACCCTGATGATTTAAAAGAGAGCTGACAGGTTGTTTTTTATATTTAAAAGTTTAGATTTGTGATTCCTTTAAGACTTTTTTTTATAAGATTACCCTTTGAGACAAATAATAAAGTAATTGTTCCTTTCTTTGTAACTGCAAAATGCAGCCTGCCAGCAAAAGAACTGGCAGAGAAAAATAGCTTGCTTGCTTACACTCTGTTAAATCTATAACAAGTTGCTTGGGTATGAATGCATGTGGGTTCTTGAGACAACCTGCTTTTCACCTGTAATATGTAAAATGTTTAATCATGGAAGGCATATGCAAAACATGCTGTCTTTTACTTGTAATAATTGCAATCATTCACTTAAAAAAATAGAATGTAACCACATTTCAATTTTTATACTCCTTAAAAGACTTTCCTGGGATCGATAGGCTGTCAGGGGAATAAAAAAGACAGGAGAGAAGGAAAACAGGAGGAAAGATGCAGAAGGAAGACATCAGGAAGCGACATCAAGAGAGACAGAAAGGAAACATCAGAGTTGAAGAGCAGGAAAAGAATAGAGCACAAGCATCAGAAATGACAACGTGAGGAGCTAAGCTTTGCCCTCAGAAAAGCCCTCGTGTGTCTGTTTGTCTGACCAGCAGTTCACCTGCTCTGCATCTCCTCTGCAGTTTCTCTGACCTGCTGAAGGCTTGTCAAGAATCAGCACCCAAGGTGAGATCCTGACATGGTGGAGATGCGTGTGTGTGTGTGTGTGTGTGTGTGTGTGTTTCCCTTTCTCGCTGGCCCCAGAGAATTAAGTTTTACTCCCTCAGACAGAAAAGTCAAGTGAGTGATTAGTTCACCAATTCTGTGGATTCCCCACAGCTGGTCCTCACAGCAGCCATATTTCAGACATTAGACTTCAGTGCCAACTTGAATATACTGTCTAGATATTTGACCATGAACAGTGATTGATTTCACATAGTCTCAGTTTTCTTCTGGTAGAATACAGGTATGGTGGTACATGCCTGAGTCATATGGAGGATGAAGACAGATGCTTTTCCCATTGAACTGAGCTATCACACTAAATACTGACAGCTGCCCCTTTAGCCCACCACACCCACTGCTTTTTCATCTTTAGTTCGATAGACGTCTTAGGATAGTATTGCAGCATTTCTGGACCCTTCAAGTGCTGTGGGACAATGGTCTTTTATCCGGTCACTTGCATTATTTTTAATAAAACATTGATTGGCCAGTAGCCAGGCAGGAAGTACAGGTGGGGCAACAAGAAAGGAAGTAGAGGCAGGCAATGAGAACAGGGGAATGCTGGGAAGAGGAAAGACGCAGTCTGCAGTCATCATCCAGACAGAGAGGAAGCAAGATAAGAATGCCTTGCTGATGGAAGATACCAAGCCACATGGTTAACACAGACAAGAATTATGGGCTAGTATAAGATGTAAGAATTAGTTAATAAGAAGCCTGAGCTAATAGGCCAATCAGTTTATAATTAGTGTAGACCTCTCTGTGTTTCTTTGGGGTTGAAAGGCTGTGGGACCTGGCGGGACAGAAACCTTGGTCAACATTCAAGTGTCCAAAAGATTATAATTCCATTTATGAAAGTACTCAGTCCAGTGAGATCAACACTTCTATCTATTACACCAAATACCCCCTTTTCTCAACTGAGAGCTACAGGCCTGGGAGCACAGAACCGCAAGGACAGGGCTCTGCCCTCTCCCCTCTCTACTCATGGATGCCGGCCAGGTCTAGCTGAAGGGGAGAGACTGGGTGGAAAGATGTAATGCTAAATGGCCCTTACTCCCCTGACAAGAGCCACGGCGCATGGGTTTGGCTGACATTCAAAATCAACTCCTCTCCTAGGACATTTTTGAGATTGCTTTTGGGCATTCTTTAACTAAGGATCTCCAGTTGCTACTTGCTGGAGACGGGCAGAGTGCCACCTCTGGCCTCCTATCCACTCCTTCCCAGGCTCAAACAAGGGAGCCAGAGCACCTTCTAACACGTTCTTTATGTTAGTCCCAAAGATGTGAGGAGAAAGACCCAAATCGCCATGGCAAATTAAAGCAAGCAATGAATTAAAGCAAGCTTTTTATTCATGTACATGAACTGCCTCCCCCTAAGGCAGGAGTGCAAGATGTCAGCATTGGCTGTGGGGAAGATAAGGTTTTTATAGCTCAGGGGTAGGTGGTTTCCAAATGGAGGCTTGGCAAGTTTACCAACAGGCAGGGAGAACAGAGCCATTTGTAGTTAAAGTTGCAGGTGTAGCATAGCCCAGTGCTTGAGAGAAACAGAGGTCTAATCATAAAAAGCAATGAACCTAGTCTGTCTTTACTAGAAGATGGCCTTTAAGCCCAAATCGAGACAGACTTGTTCATCATTTCTTTCCCCGAGGGGGAGACTCAGACATTGTCTTGACCAATTATGTTTTACTGCCACAGCTTATGATCTGAGTCCTTCCCAGCTTATCTCAAATCCCCACAGTAGTAGCCCTGCTGCCTACGCGCTATGACTAACAGTCTGGCCCCCACTTCCAGGCAGAAGTGGTCACTTCATGACTGGAAGTGAACTACCACACTTCCTGCTGTAATGATTTCCCTTGTGACAGCAGGACCTCACGGAGCCAGACCTGAGCTCATGATCAACAGGACACAGTGTGACCAAGACTGACTAGGCCTATTTCTTGGCCCCTCCTTCTATTCTTCTATATTATCCCGAAGTTCCCATTGCTACCTGGTGAGGGTTTAGGGTGACTCACTATTCCTTCCCAGCATGGCAACACCAGACAGTTCTTCCCGCTGTCACCACATGCCTCTGACTGGACTCTGGAGACAGTGTGGTCGGTTAGGAAGATGCTGCAGTACACCGTCAGTCCTCTGGCCTAGCGCTGCAGCAACAGCAATTCCTCTCCCGAGCTTTGACGTTTAGTGTGTCTCCTGTGCTCGGTTGCTGGCTCTCTTCCCTGGTCCTACAGTTTTTCTCAGAGGACTCCAGCAGGTTTTATCTTGTGGCTCGTCCAGGCCAACACATTTAGAGACACTTGGCGACTCTGAGGGCAGCTGGCTTCACCTCGCTTCCCTCCTGCCACGTTAGGCATAGCACCCCTCCCCCCACTCCCTGAAGTTCTCAAACTAATGTCACAGACGAGGGTCCTACATTTTTGAAATGTCAGGACACACGTCTCTCTGAACTAGCAATCCTCAGGTAAACGAATCCCCTTTCGAATAGTTTGGCAGCCTCTCCAAAAACCTAACAGCCAGTAGTGATTTACTCTGGTTTGGAGGTCTCAGATGGTCCTGCCTAGGCAGACCAGCTTCTTAGGTTCTGTGCTTCTGGACAAATATCAAGGGCATTCATAGCTGAGTAAAGTGGGAGATGGAAAGAAAGATCAGAGGTTCAAGGTCATCCTCAGCTACGTAGGAAGTGTGAAGCCAGCCTGGAGTACATGAAATACTAGCTCGGGGGGGAGGGGGGGAACCAAAAACAAATAAACAAAAAGCACTCCAGACTTAGGCCTCCGCCAAAACTTTGGGGAAAACAGGGACAAGGTCTTTCCCTCATACTGGAGTTCGCGTCTTTCATTCTGGCAAGGCTGATCTTGTTTCTGTCTCCCCCGGAGCTGGAGTTACAAGTGAGTGACAGGTGCCCCGCTTGTTGTATAGGTAGTGAGATCTTAACACTGGTCCTTATGACATGCATCAAATGCTCTCAATCACTCAATCATCTCTTCTATCCCGTGAAATGGGCTTTTATTTAGCCCCAAAGCTACTTCTATTGTATGGTACACGTGAGGAGTTTTTAGGCTGCTAAGTTCATGTTGACTAGACAGATGCTCAGGCTCACAAGCATTAACCCACTCTGCCTGGTTCAAATAGGAACTGTTTAGACAATGCATATTCTGTGACTGGATCCCAAAATTTTGTGATCCTATTAATAGCAGGTTTAATTTTTTTGTAACACCTACCGTGAGAAAAGTATATAAAAAGGAAAACATTCAGAGACCTTGGTTCAAACTTCACCTTCCCATTCCCTGGCTGTGTGACTCTGAATGAACAGCTCAGCTCTCAGGAGACTCGCTCCCTGCCACTATAAAATGGAGATAAACCCGTTTCACAGTATTATTCTGGAAGATGGAAGGTATCCAGCAAGATGCTACTGTCCCACCAAGATCCTGGGGCTGCAGCATAGCGCCGCATCTTCCCACGCTGGTAGAACCGCCAAGCACCGGGGATCTTTAAGAGGTGAGCGACTCCTTTGATAGGGAGCCATCAGGCCACTGAGGGTATAGTCTCAAAAACAATTGGGTGGCCCGGTTTTGCTTTCCCTCTTATTCCTGCCCTAAAATGTGGCTACTTACCCTGACATGCATTCCCCCCAATGACGTGCCACACTTATCAGACCAGTGGGGTGACCTGATTTCGGACTTAAATCTCCAGAACTGGGAATCGAAATAAATGCCTTTGCTTCAACGTAGGCTGTGTCAGATATTTTTTTATTAGCAGCAGATAGCTAACTAATACCGTCAGGCAGCATGCTAAGCACTTTGTTACGTCTAATTCAGCCAATAACCTTAAGAGGTTTGCTAAGTGTACGGTAACCAAGCCACTGAATTAATGTCACTAATGACTCATAGCATTGGGAGAAAATACTTGTCACTGTTTCAGAATGACAAAGATTTCGGACAAAGAAATTTAACAGCAACTACTTACTGGACAGTCAGTTCCAAACCGCCAATATGTTGAATTACACAGTTTTTTCACTGTCTCAGGACCCTCTATGTCATAATCTTTGGGGAAAGCTTCTCTGTCACGGTGCCTTCAGGGAAAAAAAAGTATTAAAAAATTACTAGGAAAAATCCTTATTGACCATGCATTGATTTTTAAAAACTTTAAATTTGATATATTTCATGCTATTCTCTTAATCATAAATTTGTCAAATTCATGATGGATGATGTATTTCTCACCCCTTTTCAAGGAACTCTGAGACTACTCCCTAAAAGTAACTTGCCACATTCAGTAAAACTTACACTGTCACAGAAACACTACTTAACTAACACAGTAATTATTCAGTAGCTCCAGTGAACTGAATCTTATTTAATAATGTAAATTAATTACTGACAGTAAATTCAAAAATAAGATATGGGAATAGCTTTAAAAAGCAACTTGTCACTTTAGAAAGTCTCTCTACCGTGAATTTTAATTATGTTGTTTCTTAAACAAGGCAGGCTGTGTGATTGATAACCTGCATGGTCCTGGTTTCCAAAGAACACCCAAGGAAACTGATAATCACCAGCTAAAAACCAAGCGACAAAGACCCACTTCGTTTTTTTTTTTTATTAGAGATATATTTATGTACACGAGTGCTCTAGTGCTTTATCTTCATGTATGAGTTTATGCCGGAAGAGAGCATCAGATCCCACTATAATTGCGAGCCACCATGGGGTTGCTGGAAATTGAACTCAGGACCTCTGAAAAAGCAGCCAGTGCTCTTAACTGCTGAGCCAACTTTCCAGCCACAAAGCCTCACTCCTTAAAGTATGCATGGAAGAGGAAGAAGTATTCCAGTCATCTTGGCTAAGAGGTGGTTAGGGCTAACTTTAAAAGGAGGGGGGGAAGAGAAAGAGAGATTTGGTATGATAAATGACAGGAAAGTGCTGCGGTTGACAAGCGAAGTAAATTTTCCTATAGCTGTTTTAGATTGCATAAAGGAAGTTGAGACCAAGCATTGGCAGAAGGGGCCCTCAGGGATGCAAGGCGGGGATACTCAAAAGCACATCCAACCATCGGTTTACTCAGCTGAGACTCGTAAGGCCCCGCTTGGTGAGATTTGAAAATGGTATATCCCCTCTGAATACATTAGATTTCCTCAGTGGTAGTGCTGGGAGATCTGCCTAAGAAGAGGCAATTAGGTCTTTGAGGTGTGTTGGAACCTTTCCTTACTGAGTTAGTGTGGCAGGTTGAAAGTAGTTGGCCCTCACAAGCTCATAGGGAGTGGCGCTAGTAGGAGCTGCGGCTTTGCTAGAGAAAGCACGCCACTGTGGAGGTGGGCTTTGAGGGTGCCTATGCTCAAGCTCTGGCTGGTGTCTCAGTTCACTTCCTGTTGTCTGTGGGTCAAGATGTAGGACTCTCAGCTTCTTTTCCAGCATCATGCCTGCCTGCATGCCCCCCCCCATGTCCCACTATGGTGATCATGGCTTAAACTCTGAATTGTAGGCCACCCCAGTTAAATGTTTTCCTTTATAAGAGTTGCCATGGTCATGGTGCATCCTCACAGCAACAGAAACCATATTGAAGATAGTTTTGGTAGTACTAGGTGAACTCTCGTCCTTGAGAGACTGGATTAGCTACCTTGAAAGAAGACTTACGTGGAACCACCCCTTACACTTGCCTCTTCTATTCTTATCTGTTCCTCCTGCTTAGCCATGAGGCCTAGGGTCCTTGGCAGGTGCAATCTCCTGGTCTTGAACTTCCAACCTCAAGAGCTATGAGCTTTCTTTTTATAAATTACCCATAATTGTGGTCTGAGTATGAAATTCCACCATAGGATCATGTGTTTGAATGTTTGGTCCTCAAGTGTTTGGAAAATTATAGAACATTTTAGGAGGTGGGTTCTTACAGTCATTGCAGTTGGCCCTAAGTTTTGATATCTAGGCCCTGATTCCTGCTTTTTCTCCATTTCTGGATGAGGATGTGGTATGACCAGTCCGTTCATGTCCTAAACCTCTCCTAGCTCCCCTTATCCCCCTGTCCCATGCCTCCTCTTAGATAATATACAGTATCTCCCTGAACTGTGAGACATAACAAACTTTCTTAAGTTGCCTTCGTCAGGTCTTTGATCACAGAAGCTTAGGGTTTCTATTGCTGTGAAGAGACACCATGACCATGACAACTTTTATAAAGCAAAATATTTTATTGGGACTGGCTTACAGCTTCAGTGGTTTAGTTTATTATTATCGTGGTAAGACATAGTGGTGTGCAGGCAGACATGGTGCCGGAGACAGAACTGAGAGTACTACATCTCAATCCACAGGCAGTGGAAGGAAAGACTATGTTACAATGGTCAGACTTGAGCTTGTAAGACCTCAAACCTTGCCTCTGTAGCGACACACTTCCTCCAAGGCCACATCTACTCCAACAAGGTCACTACTCCTAATAGTGCCACTCCCTCTGGGCCAAGCATTCAAACACATGAGTCTATGGGGGCCAAATCTATTCAAACCACCAGAGTAGCAAAGAAAACAACTAGTGCATCCAGCCACTGGTATTTTGTCGGAGCAACAGAAAGCAGACTGAAATGCTGCTACCTTTTGTTGTGCTGCATTTGCAAGAGGCACAAACTTGCATTGGGGAATAAGCCTAACGGAGTCTACCTTCAGTTACTCCCCACTTCTGCAGAAACTGACATAACTAAGCAATTAGAAGGGAAACCTCAATTTGGCCAATTTCTTCCAGCTGTGAGGGTGTTTTATATTATTTTGGCACCCAGAATCCCTCTTTGCTGTCACTTTATCAGCAGAAGCATCCCCTGCTCCCTATGACCTCCCATTACGGATCCACCCATGATGCAGGCTGGGCATTCATGTATCTGTTGGCCATCTGTATGACTGAGAAACATCTGTAAAGGTCCATTGCTATTTAAGTTGAATTATTTTGTTTTTGGTTTTTGAGGTTTTGAGTTTCTTGTATATTTTGGACATGGACCTTCTTTGAGATGAATAGCTGATTAATTTTCCTCTTGCTTTGCTGTCTCCACTGCTATGATGAAGTTTTTCAAATGATATAATTGAGTTTGTCTACTTTTGTTTCTGATTTTGTGACTTTTTTCAAGACGGGGGGGGGGGGTTGCCTTCTTTTAAAAATTTCCTGGCCCATTTCAATGTCTTGAAGCATTTTTCTGATTTTTTTCCTTCTAGTAGTTTAAAACTTCACATGTTATAATTAAATCTTTAATTTTTAAAAAGTATTTTTGTTTTTGTGTTTTTAGAGACAAGGCTGGTCTAAAACTCCTGGTCGTTTTGGTTGAGGCTCCTACATGCTGCAATGACGGGCACATGCTACCACACTGGGATTTTTCATCCATTTGCAGCTGTTTTCTGTTTGCTTGTTTACTTTCTGTTGTTTGTTTGCGTGTTCGTTTTGTTTTTTTTTTTTTTTTTTTTTTTTTTTTTGGTGTAGATTGTGTTCAGTTTTTTTTTTCTGATGTGCACACCCCGTATCCCCAGCACCTTAATGTCGGGGTCCAGCCTCAATGACTTTCACCCACACACCTTCACTGAAAGCACCCTCCTTTCCCACACATTTCATTTTTAAAGAGCCGGTGTCACCGATGCTCTAAGCTGAGTTCACAACCCATCAGGCACACATCTGTCATCTTGGCTCCTGGAGTCTGGGGAAAGAGGACTGATGTGTGTAAAGACAGCCTAAGCGAGGCTCTGCCTCCAAAGCAAAACCAAACACAGTTTTAGCTGTGGAATCTAGGTAGAGTGGGATGCGGCCAGGATCGAGCAAGAAGCTGCCAATAACACTGCTGAACTCTCATGATGTTTGGGTAAGTGCCCACCACAAAAAGAAACAACTGGAAACACATTAGCACTGAGGTTGAGACAGCTGTGGAGAATAGAAGGATCTCTCACTCAAACATAATCACCCCGGAAATGGGTGGGACCCATTTCAAGTATTTGAAGAGAACATCCAAAACAAAACAGTCATCCCTCAACTCTAAGAATAAGACCTTTAACATAAAAATCAGCATAAAATAAAACAATCCTACGTTCTTTCAAATTGAGTAAATTTCACCGTGTTTGAAAAGGTGCTACCCTGTCACTGTAGCCTACACAGCAACTTACATTACCAAAAAGACTGTCACTGGCCAGCCCTGGTCAGGTCCAGGGTCTTCGCAGGTCTCCGTTCAGACCTGAATCTGAAAGGTGCTGGTCTGCAATTAGCTCAATGCCAAAGACGTTTGACTATAGGTGTTCTATGCAACTGAATTCCAGGCCAGGGAACATCACAGAAAAAAGGACCAAAAGAATGTGAGATGGATAACAGGGAGAAGAACTATACAGTGCCACTATCTGGGCACGACATAGCCAATGACGTCTCGAATTCACAGCTGCCATGATTCCTCACACTGGAGCCTGAGCAAGCCTGGCCCTGTCAATAGTATGATGGAGGGATTGGAAACTCGTTTCTATTAAGGTTACTATCACTGTGATAAACACCATGACCAAAAACAACTTGGAGAGGAGAGGGTTTATGTGGCTTGCTCTTCCACATCACTGTTCATCATTGAAGGAAGTCAGAACCAGAACTCAAACAGGCAGGAGCTGACACAGAGGCTATAGAGGGGTACTGCTTACTAGCTTGCTCTCCATGGCTTGTTCAGCCTTCTTTCTTATAGAACCCAGGACCACCACCCCAGGAGTGCCATCAAACACTAAGAAAATGCCCTACAGGCTTGCCAACAGCCCAATCTTAGGGAGGCATTTCTCACTTGGGGGTCCCTTCTTTCTGATGACTCTATCTTGTGTCAAGTTGATACAAACCTAGGCAGCGTATTCATGGAGTCTTAGCTCTCCCTACTGAAGAGTCTATGACAGAGAGAATCATTGTCTGCAATTGCGTACTCACTGGTGAGTCCACCAGGCTCCAGCAGATAATTCCAAACCCATGGCCATAACAACAGCTTTATTTAAACTCAATGGATCACAAAACAAAACAAAAAGTCATGAATGTGGGGAACAGATTTGTTGGGAAGAGGGGAAGTTCAGAGGAGTGGGGCAGGAGAAGGATTAAACTGCATTTTATACATGATGG